GATTCGACGGATCATCGGATTCATCATTTTTGGAAGTGATTGGGGATGATTCTTAAAGCTGATCCCTCCGATCCGTATCCCGCGGGAAAACGCAATCAACAGGTGGTCCATACGCGCTTATAGGATTCCAGCAGAGTAAGGAAGCACGAGGGGCGGTTACAATCTTCGATACATCGAGTGTAACGCGATTAGTCAACGTACCCGTGGGGTAACGTCGGGGCGTGATTTTGCTCCACGGGGGATGCGGTTCTCTCCTTTAACCCTCCAACGAGCTACAAAGAGGGTCCATTCAAAGAAGTTAAATATCTATAATGCGAACTCGTTGGATGCGTCGCCCTCACATAAATCATCAATTTAGGTGGGTAGATACGATACTGAAAATCTGAGCGCGCCTTGTAAATTGATTATATTTTGTCATTATTTTCTCGTGGAGAAATCTGAAAAAAAAAACCGCGTAAATATCGGAAAAAAATCGGACCCACGAATAGCTTATTCACGAATAATTTCCTCGAGGTATCTCGTGTTTTGAGATCACTTTTCAATTTGGATCCTTCTCCCTATATTTCAATCTTCTATTTTATTATGTCAACGATCCACGTATATTTGTGGTCGACTTCGCAAGAAACGATGTTAGCCTGTAGCGGTTACATAATGATCTTACAATGCCGGAGGAGGGTTGAGGGTTGAGGCGTTAAACCCCCACCGGGACCGGATTCGAGAGCATTATTTCATCGGGCCAGTTAAGGTCTAATAAATTTTCCATCGCGCGCGTAGAGACGAAAGCATAGTTACGCGCGGTGACAATGGGCATTATGAGGCTTTGGTCGCGCGATCCACGGACGCGTTTCGGAGGATGAATGAATGTCCGCGCGCAAGCTCTCTCTCTCTCTCTCTCTCCCTCTCTCTCGGCCCGTGGTTTTTCGAATGGGTGGCTAATGGCGGGGCGGCGGCGACGGCGATGGCGGGACGATGGGGCGATCCCGCTGTCGGGACATAAAATTAGTGGTCACAAATCAACTACAATACGACCACCGTTGATCGCGTTGGTCCTGGTTCTGCGCCGCGGTTGGTATCTGGTCCACGACCAGAAATCGACGCGCGCGCGCGCGCGGGGGGGTACGTAAGGGGGACACCGGGGAACCCGGCGGGCGTGCACGCGCGTCCGTCTCCTCTGTGCCTTCGCTGCCTTCGCTGGATTTGGTATACCCTCGTATCTGACTTTTTTTCTTTCTGTGCCCACCGGCGGCCCACCGAGTATAACTTTCCTTTTCTCCTCTCTCTCTCTCTCTCTCTCGCGGCAAAAACCGCGCAGTCTGAGATATCCCTTGAACGCGTCGTTCGTCCACGTGCAGAATCGCAATCACGTATATATAAGTTCACCTCTTGCGATTCGATACACCTTTCTCGGACGCTTTCGACGTCAATTAGGTACAATGCATCGGGCGATAAAAAGAAAGGTACGATATGGTGCGATGCGACACGTGTACGGCAGAGTGCTCGATGGAATCACGACCTGGATAAACATATTTAAAATATAGTATGCTTAATATAATATGCTTAATATAAGACACACGCGAGAGACACACAGTACGCGCCCGTTCGGGATGCTATCTAATTCTAAATGGCCTATGACGATCACCATAAAACATCGTGATACTTCATACGCTCATTACGGTAGTCTCAAGTACATCGCGAGTCGTAGCAAAATTCTGCCGATGCAATCTTAATGGTGCGGTTAATATTCGCGTAACTGCAAGCGACAGTGCATGCATCATTGCGCATACATTCGTATATGACTTCAGCGAAACGCGCAAGCGATGACACTGCCGCTTTTAGATAGCCAGACTGGAATGGATAAGGATATTCCCGTTCGCGGAAATCTTACTACAAATTTCTACGAAATTTTAACGTACTTAGAAATCCCCCGGATTTGCTATAATATATCTCACACTACCTCGTGTATACCAGCGAAAGCGGAGTGTATACCTACGCAGACGGCGCGCCCGTTACTCACCTAGCGCGCCAATGAAAAACAAGACGTAAGTGAATTAAGAGGAATCGACAGGTACTCATTCTACGAAATTAAGTTTCTAATCTTTAAGGATCGCCGATTAGATTCGACATTCCCAGACTTTCTTCCATTTCTCGCCTATTGGCGAATATATCTTACGTCAGAATTACGAACTTGGGCAGAATTATCGTCGTCGCTCGATATCGACGAGGAAGAAATTAAAAGATCCGCGATCTGCTTTTCTTGCGGCGTTATAGCCTTATTTTAATTTCTATTCAAGAGAGTAGGGAGTGTAATTAAAATAATGGTCGTCGTGCAACGTATTGAGATGTTAATTGAATGCGTCGTAATCTCTCACGTGCGCGCCAATGCGCCATATAGTGAGACGAACGTTATTACTGTCCCTTGCATTACGGACGATAAGATCGATCCTTTTTCATTCCAAAATTGATTTTCATTAGGCGCATCAGCCTGCAGCGAACTCTCCGTTTTCCACCGCGGCAAACTTTTCACGTTTGCAGCGGTTTTCACGTTTCAGTATATATAGATAATAAACGCAATTAATTTGAATATTCAACGAATTTATTGGAAATGTCCACATAACAGAACTGTTCCGGAATATCGAGATCTGAAATCGTGATGCGTATCTCGATGTATGCGCGTACCGGTCGGATTTGGCGGTACTAGCACGAGGAGATCGACGGTTCTATCGAAGGAGGGAGAGGGATCTCTTATACTCGGGGTATTAACGTCCCCCGCTGAGGCTGAGGTTCCTCCTGTTCGTCCCGATAGGACATCGGGACATCGCTCACACAGTGGCGTCGATCTCTCTTCTTTCCTCTTCCCGTCTTTCCCTTTCTCTCTCTCAAATTGAATCGATACTCGCCGCGACATTCGCATTTCCATAGCCGTCGATCTTTTCGACGCCTCTGCGAGAACGCGCAGGTTCCTTCGGTGACTCCTGTTCGTGATAAATATACGAGCCGGCTGATTGGACCGGCTTACCGTTCCGTCTAATCCGTCGCCTATCTCCCCGTCCATCCGTCCTCCATAATTGTCTTATTGTATTCCTATAAGCTGGTAAGCTCTCGGGACCCGCGTCTAGGAGAGGCGGGGATATTCGCTTGAACCAAGTCAATTTCCCTTTACGCGCGCTTTCGTCGTGAAAAGAAGCGGTAAAGAACGCGGTGTGTGGCCGCGCTCTTTAAACACGTGCCGAATTACCGCGTCTTTAATACATTGGTGCAAAACATTCGTAATACCTATATATTTTATATCGGAATAGGAATAGATTTATAGATACATCTGTTTCGGGCAATTTTTAGTCGTTTAAGTAAAATTGTAAAAATATAAACGTGGTGGCTTAAACTTGAATTACGCTATTTCTTTATCGATAACCATGCGTGAAAAAATTTATCCGCTTCACTGTATGTACATTCTTAAAAATCCAAGTTTACCGATATTTAGATAAAATTCGAGAAGTTTAAGTTTACCGGTGGCGTTGAGTAGCGTCGGCGAACAAATCCGCGGCGAATCGGCATGAGAGGCGAGAGAGAGAACATTGTCCGAATCGGCGCTCTTGATGGTTCCTAATGAGCATACGGTAATTCTATTAGGATTAGCCTCGTCCTGGCTGGAATGTTCGGGCAAGTGCGTGGGCGTAGATCGACGGGGGGAAGGGTAGGGAGGGAATAACGATAGCTCGGAGTCGAGAGTTAGCCGGCGCACGTACGGTGCGTATAACCGTGTGCGTGCGTCGTGCGCACGCACACGCGAGAGCGCGTATTATACGGCACGAATGCCGAAGAAGCACGAAACGAAAACTCGGCTCCTCCACTCAGCGGTGAACATGTTTCCTGATGGGGTCATCAGCGCGAATTAACATACTGGGTGGACTCGTACGACACGCACACGTGTGCTCACCGACGGGACCGACGTTTCCATCTGACTCACTGCTCTTTCCTCCCCCCCCCTCCTTCTCTCTCTCTCTCTTTCTCCCAATTTTTTTTCCTATCTGCCTTTATCTCGTTCTCTCGTTTCTTGGAGCATCTTCTCTTTCTTCCTCAAGATCGGTTGAATCGTCGACGAGCCAAACTGCGATCGAAATTTGCACGAGCCTCACATTATCTCGTTGTCGACTTCCGATATTCCCTCCTGATTAGCTTTCAACGACGACACCTATCGCGACGCAGAACGGCTATGTTTTCATTCAGATTTGAAAAGACCCTGGGTTCCTCATATTTACATTCATATAACGTCTTATCGCGAGAAAACTCATAACGGTACGGTACATTTTCCCTCCCTCGAGTATGGAAGTTGGACTGACTCATCTGTGGTTCGGTTCAACAGGAAACTCTCGTTCGCTGAAGTCGTATAGGAAATCGACAAATAAAAGCGTTCCGAGTTTGAACAGCGATCGGCCGAACGACGGAGAGTCGTGTGCGAGCCGTTTCCGCGATTGTTGACTCACGAATCTTTCCTCGAGGGGCAACGAGGATGAGACATGATGCAAAGTAAAACGTTGGCAGACGATTGGAACGTTCGGGAACGAATCGGGGGATTAGAGACAAGAACGATCTCTCGTTAACGAGAAACGCGGCGGTAAGCCGATTTCTAGCCTTCTCGTTCTGCATTCCCGCATTCGATCAATTTCATTGATCCATTCTGATCGCTACGCGCGCGTGACCTCGCCACAAATTTTCAGAAAAAGTATGTCAGCCGGCTACACAGGATCGGCTTTTGCGATCTCGAGTTCAGAATGCTTGCGCGCGCGACTATCACTTTCGATGAAGGTACCGACTGTTCCAACCGGTTTTTCTTACTGACATCGGACTGACTGTACCAGCGCATCGTATCGTCAAGTACACGGGATCGATGAATTCTCCCCGATTAATAGCAATTATGCCACGAGAAGAGAAATCAAATCGTTGAAAATCGCGCTCGTTTATCTGGCGCAAAATGTTCTCTCCAACAAATATTGCAAGTTTATTTGAGTATTTATTTTTTTTCTTACAATTTATATAATAGACAATAGAACGAATTAAACAAAATTACAATTATGTCGAAATAAAACACGGGAATACTCTAATTAATTAGTTTACACGCTGTAGGAAAATGACATTTTATATGTTAATAGAAAAAAATATTTTATATTATAATAGAAATAAAATAGAGTTAAAAGGAAAAAATGGACAAATAATTTCTATCAAAGTAATATTGAAAAGACGATTGTATGCAGCGGGCATTGCACATTAACGTCTAACTAGAACTTCTCGGGTATAGTGCAGGAAATCTCGATATAAGAGCTTCACGGATAATTACGTCCTCCCAGGACCATGTCCTCCTCGTGATGTCACCGTGATCTTGCATCCCGCCTCGGCCATTTATTCCGGTCGGGACATTGCCGCTACAGGCGAGATGTCAGTGGATCAGGATTATTTGGGTGCCCGCGGAGAGCGAGTAGATTAGAATGCGCCGAGAAAACGGACTGAACTGAGCGCAGGAGGAGGAGGAGGAGAGAAAGGTGTACGACGAAATCTCAGTTCCCCCAAGGAGCTTCTCTCTCTCTCTCTTTTTCGTATTCCGCGTCTCCTCGCAAGTTGGGTCCAACGAGGGAACTGATTTATAACGACCATTCGTTCTAATCGTCCTGTGCATCTCGCGTAGCCCGTCTACCGGAGCACCGTCCTCCACCGTATACGGAGCGGCCCCAAGATGACCGAGTGTCCTCTTGGAATCGATTTTTTTTTCTAAATAAACATATCGAAGACCCTACGTAGTTCCTGAGTAATTAACGATTAAAAATCGCGGGAAGAGGAAATGGAAACGATAAAAGATAATAGGTTGTCTTTTAGATACATATATTTAGCGTGACTATACTCACTTTATATTTCAATTTAAGATGTTTTAATAAGAATCCATTTGACATCTTTTGGATGAGTTACTTTCGCGATTCTGACAAAATGACGATCGTCATTTTCGCATCCTCATCATCATAATAGTGCTTATACAGCGTGTTTTCATATTTATGGGAGGAGGTCGCGAGGTTTTCTATCCTTGGTGGAATTTTGAAGACCTCGAGCCCGTTAGAAAATTGAAGTTGAGATGTAGTTACATGTACGGTATATAATACGCAAAACGTTGCAGCCGGTAAGGTAAATCACAAGTCTGAAAGGTGACTCGGTCCATCCGGCCGTGAAATTATTTATTCCGTATAAATGCGATCCGAGGCTCGCGTATACACGACGCTCGCGCGTGTATCCCGTTGGGGGGCGTAGGGCGCGTAGAGAGTAACTAAATCAACGTCATCGGTAAGTTTAATTACGGCAGCGTAGCAACAAAAGAAATCGGCGCCGCGCCGTGCTCTCGGGTGGTCCATGTGTAAGCCGAGCGGAAGAGAGATGCGAGACCGTATAGACAATCCACTTTGTATATATTCGCGTACGAATAAATCCACCCCTTCCGTCTTTCACTTTTTCGAAAGGAATGCCGCGGAATATATCGACAAATAGATAATAGAACGTTTGATCACGTTCGAAATGTTATAAATGAGAAATCATAATCAGTATACGTTGTGAAAACACGAGAAGCGTTTAATCACGATAGATGCAGATACATGGATAAAAACTTACTTTATTACAATAATTATGAAGTCGCTATAGCGTGTCTTGACGTCCAAGCGATACTTACACGATTAAATTATTAATATCCGTCACGATCACGATCGGAAAAAAATCATGCTTGCAAGCAGATGCCTGAAATTACGAGTCAATAATATGCAATAAAAATGCATAAAATTATTTATACGAACAGTTACGTACGTTTTTTTTTACTTTTTATCTAGTTTATTATTCTTTATTGTATACTTGTTTTTTTATCTTTTTGTTTTTTTATTATAATATTGAATATCGATAATTTTTGTGTCAGAGATTTACCATATAGCTTTTAATATTTATTTTTAGTGACTCTGTTGTCATTAATTATGTTTCTTTGAAACAAATACTCGTGCTTTCAGTCTCTGCTAAAAGCGTTCGCTCCACTTTTATTCGCGTGACCTATTAGCGCCTGCTACGCGAAGCTTTTACGCGAATGCCACGGGCAGCAGCGAGCTTTCAACGACGAGAGAGCGAGACGAGGAGCGTGACGGGATCAATGAAGGAAGAAAGAGAGAATAGGAGAGAGAGAAACGTTTAGTCGGATACCGGAGGGAGCCTACGAGTTTGCACCTAGGACAGACAGCCGGCGGCACGCGAGGTCGGCACACGAGAGCGTGCTATGAAGAGAGCGAGGGAAAGAGAGAAAAGGAGAGAGACGGAGAGGGCTGCAGCCCATCAGCCCGTTTAATTAATTAAAAGTGCATTAACGGGGGGTCATCGGCGGCGCGAGGGGTTCTATGGGGAGGACGAGGGGTTCTCTCCGTGGCGTTAGATACGCGTGTAACGATCCTCTGAACCGGAACAACCGCGCTATTACTTTCGTCAACACAACGATGCTCCTCGTCCCCTTTCTCGTAGACGTTCCTTCCCACAGCTTTTCCGAGCTCCCCGCAGTCAAGGACGACCACATTTTCCGACTCCAAATTGACTTGCACCATCCAAATGTAGTTTCGTAGCAGAGGTTTTTCGAGCAGACTCGATAATACGTTTTTTTTTTAATACATATTACAACTAAAGTATTGTTTATAGCCATTTTTTAAGATCTTTTCTGAAGAATAGAAAAGAAGAATATTACTACAAAGTGTTTTAGTCAATATATTAATAAAAATAAAACCGCAATATATTCTAAAAAGCACTTTACAGTGTAATGTTCTTTTTTGTACGAATATCATTCCAAAAAAGATGAGAGGGTGTGTATCTTCTTTATAATATTGCATACAATATATGATTATTTTCTTTTTTCAAGACTTGAAATCACATTTATGTTTTGACGATGCAAATGAGAATACTCATTATCTCATACAAGTTACTTTATACAATTTACTTGTAATATTTTGCTTATGACAGATTACGTATTGTATGCAATTTTATTCGCCCGCTCTCGTACGTGTCCCCTCATAAATTAGTGGGGTGGAAAGAAATTTCGAGATTACGTCCGCCTGGCCTCGTTCGGCGACGTTATCGGAATCACGCGCAGATAGAATCGAAATACCAGGTGCAAATTACAAGGGAGATGCCCAGGTAGCACGGAAGTTTGACGCGCGCGCATGCTACCAGCTGACTCTCCGAGTCCGCGAGGAACGTTAGCGTAGCGTAGCGTGTAATCACGTTAATGCGCCACAACATCGTGAACGAGCCGGCCGTCGAGGAGTGATCCCGGTTTCGCCAAAGGGATCATCCCGCGAGTCAGCGGCTCTCGAGGAGTGACTCACGCCTGCCGTCCGTCGCTTGCGTAACGAAACCATGAGGAGAGTCGATAACGATAATCTTTGGCGAGCATTCCCTATCGTCCCGCGTCGCGGTGGGACGGAAGGAGGAAACGATGACGAATCATCAATGACCGTGGCGAGATCCGAATCAGGTTTATATTTACCGATCGGTGTAGTAAACATTAGGAACCCGACCGTGGAATTTTTTCTTCATTTTTTTTTTTAACGGACGAAAAGGTGAGAGGTGAGAAGAAACCTTCGGGATGAATTTATCTGAATCGCGAATTTGCGTAAGTTTTATCGAGCGCGAAATGGTAGAATGTAGTAAAAAGCTAGATTAATCTTTTTTTCGCTATAAAAATTTATATCATTAATATGAATTAAGTCTGAGAGAAAATACGGTTGACTGAAAGTATATCGACTCAATGATCAAAATGAACGGTTTCGCTGTGTTAATCGCCGTTTGTCGTTGCACCTGGATTTATGCATCCCGGAGAATGCGCGCGCGCAGTCGCGTGGTAATATATGACCCGAGGTGTCCTAATGAGGGGAGTGGATCCGCAGGATGTGCGGATCGCGTGAGACGAGCGTCTAACAATGCGAGAGATCGATGATGAAGCGTGCCGTGCCGTGATGAAGCGAAGAAACGAGAATAGTTGGCATAGCGTCCGGTCGAGCATGGCCGACGAAGAAAGAATCAAATATTTGATTATAAAAAAAAATGCGCATTCCTCGTAATCGACGACGCGTTGTGGAACGTTAATTGATTAATTCTTGATTTGTTTTCGAGCGTGTAGACTTACAATTAGCTGAGTTTGAAATCAGTATTCAAAATCTTCACTTATAACCATTTAGAGACGATTCTGCGTGTAAAATTAATTAATAAATAATACCAACATTACGGAGTGGGGACTTTATGACGATTAACCCATGTCGCGGACCTTTGAGTTATTCGATTAACATCGCGCGATCGACTCGTAAATAGTCGTGGACAAACAACGACAAACCGTATCGCGGTGCCATCGCACGTGCCGAGCAAGGGGGCGAAAAGGGGCCCGCGCGGACGCCACGTGCTAAGGTAACACGAGCGTGCTTGTCAAACTTCGCCTCGTGAACGGGCGTAGGGATGTGTCCGCGCGCACGTGCGTTTTAATACAACGTAATGCGTTGCATGTCCACATTCATTAAGTAATTTTCCGGCCGGGAAGTCGGAGAGCGGTCGGGCCGCGAGTCACAATTACGGACGGACAAATAGACGTGTCGATCGTGCCACGAATTTTGTTGATAGCTCGAAAGATTCGTCAGCGTTATCAATCGAACGTTTTTCGCGAAAGCTTTGAGAGATAAAACGAGCAAACCAGATCGTCGGATATCGAGGGACTTGTTTGAGATAATATACTTTAAGCAGCATGCGTTACATTTGTCATTCATATATTTTTTATACCGAATGTACATTTTTTTTATATATGCTCACATATTCATACATTTATTTATAGATTTGTACATAATTTATGCGCTAAAATAAAAACATATATTTGCATCGTTCGACAGTCATCTCATCAACACAGAGAAGAAGTTCCGCGGAACTTGTCGGATTGACGCGATTGCGAGAGAGAACGTGCGGTAAAGCCCGCGAGGAATAAATTTCCGTGCGCCGAGTAATTAGTCGCGGTACGCGATAACTCGCGGAGATATCTCGGAATCGCGATCTCGCCACGCACGCAGAATTCGCGCGCGCGTTTCCGCGCGGCGCGGCGTGCCTCGCGCGACGTTGGGCGACTTCGGTGCGATATGCCGGTGTCGCTGGTGCACGTATCACTCTCTCGCGTTGAGAGCAGAACGACGACGACGAGGGGGAATCGAGCAGAATCGAGTTCCGAGATCAAGTCACGCGTGGTCTAAAAGAAAGTCGTTTAAAGGTCAGCGGCAACAGCAGCAGCAGCGGCGGCGGCGGCGGCTGCGGCAGCAACAGCAGCGCGGCTCGACTTGCATCACAAATGCCAATCTACTTACGAAATGTATACAGAGAACAATGATATTCTCTTGCCTACCGCCGCCATCGCCGCCATTTGCCTCCTCATCCTAATCGCCGCGCCGTCCTTTTAGAGGCACTTGCGCAACGGTACCCGGGAATCGATTTTCTTCCCCTTTCAACCCCCTCGCGGCCTGTATACTTTTAGCCGATAGGCTAAAACCCGTCGCTTCCGGCGCGCGGGTTTCCAGCAGATTGGCCGAAATATCGCCCCTGGCAATCTCGTCACGCGGCGATAGTGTCGATGATGGTTCGCTTATATCGTATATGCAGTATATATAGCGAGAGGGTAGGTTAAATTCGGTTTCTCCTTCGGTGCACGAGCGAGTGCACCGCGGGAATTGCGATCGCGCGATCAGCCGCGATCGCGATCGGATCTCGATCGCGCGCGATTACCCTTTCGCGGTAGAAGAGAGCGTGCCGATCTCGTGCGATCTCTCGCTTTCCGCCTTGAAGATTTCGCGAATTGCGCATCGCAACGGCGACGCGTATCTCCGGCGTCATCTTATTCATATCCGCGAAATAATACTGAATAATTTCACCATAAATACGGCGCGTCCGCGTGGGCGTAAAGTAACGATAATGCAAGTAAATAATGGACGCGAGAGTTTTATTACCTAGGCGGCTGAATGGACCGAGAGATAGAATCTACGTGTCCGCGCCGCGCCGCGCCACGGATGTGTGCAGCCCCCTCGAGGGGGATCGGGGGATGCGGAGGGACCTCCGTGCGTCTTCTGCCTCTCTACTCCGCGACGCGCGATGCGACGCGGCGCGACCCGCAGTCGCCTGGAGCCCCGAGCTCCTCCTTCGGATTCTATCTTTTTCGTTCTGCCTGTTGAAGCTGTTCCTTCAGTCAACTAACGAGAAGTCTCGCTCGTTTAGCGTTTCTTGGTGGCGTTATCTTGGCGAAATTCTGAAGTTCTACGCATCGCAACGGGGGGGAAAGAAATTGAGAGAGACCCGGAAGACGAAATGATCGCAGATACGATCGACCTTCTATAACATTCTAGTAACAGGCGATAGAATTTGGTACATGGATTTCGCGCTATTCTATGATTGTATCAATTAAATTACAGTTACCACAGATCATCGATAAGTACCGCGAAAGTAATTATCTACGGGCAGAATCCAAAGGCTTCGTATATTATGAAAGCGAATTGCCATAGAGTCTATATACCTCGAAGTCGCGCTACCCCCGCGTCCGCGCATTGTTATCGAGGTCGGAACGCTTCGACGAGCAGAAAAATATGACGGATCGTGAGTACAGTCATTCCCTTCTCGCGGGAACGTATCCGTCCCGAGCGGATAGCGTGATCGCGATCGCGATATCGGACGCGAAGTCGCGGCGTCCGGTGACGACGATGATAAGCGTTTCGGCAAGAATCGCGCGCGAGGACAATTCGGGGCGACTTCATGGCTGACATTTTCCTGGGCGTTTATCGCGATAATGCGGCTTTAGGTCAGAGGGTGTGGCCTCCCCAGATTGATTCGGCGAGCTCTGTGCGGGCTTGCTTCTGCGCGCTGCGTTTTCTCATCGCGAGCAGCATGGCGTCGCGTCGCCTCGATTCCTCTATTCCATCTTCCTTGGCCGCATTGCGTTTATTCGCACGTTCACTATATCGATGAATTTAGTCGAAGTAATTCGCTCCCGAGATAATTATGAAATACGAGTCGACTCGCTCGCGCGAGTTTATCGGAGGTGCCGTATCGAAGGCGCCGAAGACGTTACGCAATCTGATAAACGACTATATATATATATATATTTAATCAAATTTCTCCCTGTCCTTTTAATAAAATAGAAGAGAGTGAGAATTTTTTCGCGACTTGCTTCGAAGCTTATTGATATCTTCCGGTGATATGTCATTTCAGGACATATGCCACAGAGAGTGATTACATTTTTGTATAATAGCATCTAAAGACTTATTTTATAATTGTACCGTTTTCTCCGATCGCGATCTTCCAATTATCCTCGACTTTTCTCTCGCTTCTCACGATTTTCCACGTTCTCTCGGCAAAGCTATTAATATACCGCCGGGAACAGAGCCGAAGCGAGAAACGTTCTTGCGCTCCGGAATCATTGGCTGCATGCTAATCGAGTCGCAGGAGAACGGATATCTTGTGTAGTGTTCACCGGAATACGACAAACTGGATTTATTAATCTCTCTCTGTAAAGCCGAGAGAGAGAAAAAAATCATTCCTTTTCCGAGGACGATTACGACGTCCGTCCGTCGTCGTCATTGTCGTTGTGTTATTGGTGCGCGATCAACAAACCAGCCTGCGTTCAACTGGAATAATCAAGCGGAGATATTAGCGTATAGCGTGCGCATTCGCGCGCGCGTTCGTGGACGCGCGCGCGCGTGGGAGTGTACGCGAGCGCGCTCGCGTGCGCGCACGAACGCATACGCACGTATAAACGCATACGCGCGTGTCCGCCGCTACATAATGACGACGCAGTATCGGCGCGGCGTGGGTGTTCGTTCTCGCTCCGACAGATTCGAAAACGCATTATTAACACCGGCGACCCTGGCTCTATGATTACGCGCATTAATAGCCGGATGGACGAACTTTGCTCGCGCTCCGCACTATCATTATCATCGCAACGCGAGAAAGAGACGGATGACGAGAGACCGTAGGAAAAGAGGCTGGCCCCACCGCGGCGGGCCTCGATGAACCGAGAAAGAAAAATTACGAAATGTTGTTCCGTTCGGATGCGTCTGTCCCGAACGGTCGTAATTTAATGTCGTGTGTGTTTTCCCACATTAAGTGGTTCATCCTGGTATTCAATCCTGGATGCATTTTATTCGATTGAGTCAGGAATATCAGATGCAATTTTTACGAACGAACTTCACGTTATCGATTTCTTTATAGCGTTTACAAGTCGCATTTGACACTTTCGCTGCCTCGAATCTCGAATCATAATTTTTTGTGAATTCAAAATCATTTCTTCTTTTGGATCACAAGACCACGAAAAACGATTGTTATTTCTAAGATTGTTTACTTGGTATAATAGAATTTTGTTTATATTTTCACAGCGAGTTGATGACGGGTTTCCGAGTACTTGCCCGGAGTCGGCTTTCCGTTTTTTTTTCTTCTACCCGCGAAAGTAGATATCCTGACGTGATCTATATATCTTTTTGCCGCTCGTAAAATCGGAACTTTTGCAATCAAGGCATTATCGTTCGTCGACACGACGCATACTCTACGATTTTATAAGCATACAGAATTTTAAATACAATGTTTCGCACACGCATATCGTACCTCGCTCGCGCACACGAGCTCCTTTTCAAATTGCATATCAGGTACGATCGAGTGTCGCGAGTGTACCAATCTTCCGACGATGAATTATTCATTGTGTAAATAATTCATAAATCATTGCGGGCTGCACAAGCCGCGCTAGCAGCAAAACCCGATCGAAAGCTCCGAAAGCTTGCCGCGCGATTTTTTAAATAAATCTATATGTATAAACGTTTCTTCGCAGTGTAAACTGCCTACTGAAACATTCGAAGATGTCTCCTTCACAGTTTTAGAATTTTAAATTTGGATAAAGAGACCTTAACGTTACAGACTGAAATCGCTTAAAGATCGGAGCAGGACCGCAATCTTTTCGATCCTTTTTCGACAGGTAACTTGGACAGGTACGATTCCACGGCTTGGGACCACGACTTTAGATTCCAGCGGAAGTGTTAAAGTCGTAAAGGGTCGAAACGGTGCCGTAACTGTCTCCCAGCGTCGCTTTTGATATACCCACACGCATTTCCGGCGCGAGAGAACAGTATCGACGGCTGACATCGCGCCGGCGACGAAGCGATGCGAGTCGATTCGAGAGGCCCTTGTAGAAATCCTCCGAATGTTATGCACCGAACGCGCGACTGTAGCGAGGTGGCACTCGGTCGTCCCTCGACATGACGCGAGAGGAAGAGAGAGGAACGACGAGCGAGCGGTGTACCATGGGGCGCGAGGGCGGTGTTGCCCGTGTACAAATCATGCAAAGGATGACGCGGCATCGCCAGCCTCCCGCGTTCCGTCTTCCGTCGCTCCTCCTCGCGCGTGCTGGACGTCGTAGGGCGAGACGGCGTTGTGCATGTTGACGACGCCCGACCCGGGGACCTTCGCCGCGCGTATCACCATATCGCAAGTCACTCGGCCCTCCGTCCTTTTCTCCGGCAGATGCGCCCTTTACAATCTTAAATGTTACAATGGCCGAAGGGACTTTAATCGATTGTTGTTACTATAAGAGAGCTCTAGCAAACGTATATATGTTCGGAAACGCTTCCTCAAAAAGTTATCGTATATCTATCAAAGAATTGTATCGTATATCTATTATTGGCACTGAAAAAATTAACATTGATAAACGTAGATAATTTTGCTGATTAAAATTATTCAGGAGATAACATTCGATTACGTCGTACGGAAAGTAACACTATCAGAAAATGATATAATAAAATAATGTAAATAAAATATTGATAATAATTCAAGTTAGAATTGAGAAATATTGTTAATCAGAAAATTAGATTAAAATAATTGTACATGACGAATTCTTCCTTTGTCCCCAGCAGACGTCGGACCTGGACACTTTGCTGTGCAGGCAGGATCTCGATCGTCTACAGAGGCTGGACGAGGATGAATCGGACGCGAGAGATGCGCGGGAGCCGTCCGTGCACATGGAGGACTTCTTCGAGGTCGGCGGACCTACGGCGGTATGCCGACCGCCACAGGCCAGTTTCGTTTCCGTCAGGAGTCAGCCGGCAGCCGCCGGTCAGGACGACGACGTCTTTCTCAGGCCGCCCCTCTGGGAGGATATCACGTCGAGTATCCAGAAACTGGATCCGGAGAACGCGGACATGCTGGGCTCGCAGTCTCACGTGAAGATGGAGACTGACGATGTGACACCGCCGCCGGTTCTCTCGCCGGTGGAGATCAAGACGGAACCGTTACCGCCACCGCCGACCCTGCATCTCCTCGAGGGACCGGCCGCGAACCCCTCGCAGAACCCCTTTCCAAACTCCTCTAGTGTTCAACACGTCGTCCATCATCGGACGACGACGACGACGACGGCGACGACGGCGCTCTTCAAGAGCTTCCCCAACGGCAACAACAATAATAACAACAGCGGGACTGTTAATAGTAATAGCACGAGCGGGAATAATGCCGGTAGCAATAACGGTAGCGGCAACGGCGCCAACAACAACAACAACAACAACAACGGCAACAACAACGGCGGTGGTAGCAATAGTGATTCGTCGACGAACAGTCATCATCAGCCGAGCGGCAACGCGACGTCGCCGCTCTACGGCTCGATGACGAGGCTGATGTATATTTCGCCGCTGACGCCACCGATCTCCGATCCCGGCTCGCCCATCGGCGCCGGTCCACCCAGGCGGACACCGCCACCCCCGTATCCTCAGCCGGGTCCGATCCTGAATCCGGCCCACAGGATCCAGCCGTCGTCGATGTCGTCTAAATTCAACAGGCGGAATAACCCGGAGTTGGAGAAGCGCCGGGTGCACCACTGTGACTTCATAGGTGAGCATAAACGACTTCGATCCTTAGTCTTTATTCGATAGTACACTCTTTTGAGAGAAGAATTGAAAAAAAAAAGCTATACATGAAATTATTTTATATATAGTGTTCTATATATTGTAACATTAAATTAAATACAAACTAAAGTGTTTAATCTCTGAGATTCGATAGCAATTTGTGGATCAGAGTTTATATAATATTATACTTTTATCATTGTGTGATTAATTTATTGATAATTATTGATACATTTTTAACATGTATTTCGAAAAGTAAACCATATACCGAAGTTTCGCAATTAAACACTTTACGGACATTTCGTTTAAGTTTTTGATTTCATCATTTCTACACTCGTAACTTTGACCTCCGACCTAACTCCTTGTTCTCTATTGCAGGTTGTACGAAAGTCTACACGAAGAGCTCGCACCTAAAGGCTCATCAGCGGATACACACGGGTGAGTGAAAACTGCTTGCTGTATTTCGACGTACCACGTCGGGCACGTTGTTGCTATAATATACAAGGGAGGGAACGCTAAAATTAGGGGGAGGGGCTTCCGTGTATTCTCCGGTAATTAGGTATGTAGCTCATCTACGCGAAGCGAAACGAAGAGTTTGAAAGCGCGAGGTCGAGCGCAGACGACGTTTACGCGTGGGCAGGGCGCGGTCCTGAGCGTCTCTCTCTCTCTCTCTCTCGCTCTCTCTCTCCTCTCGCGTCTCTCTTTCTCTTTCTCCTTTCTGTCTCTTCGTTTCCATCTCCACTATAGCATCGCTTGCGCGCGGTGTCGCGCAAAGGCGCTTCTATCATATGTAAACGTGGTAAGGGACGCACGAAGCTCTCGTGGTATGCGACTCTCCGCTTATGTTAGAGCGAAGCTAGCGACCGACCCACATCCTATACCCGTGTCCAAGCTTCGCCAACACACGGACGCGAGTCGCGGCACCAACACCGCCTGCTGCCGCGTGTGCTACCTGGACGAACACGCATGCTAGTTTCCCACACGCGCGTGGAGCGCACGCGAAAGAGCGAGAGATACCGTGAGAGCGACAGAGATGAGAATGGGCGGGAGAGAAGGACGAAGAGATGTGCTTCCCGCACACGTGCCTACGCGGCAGTCTCTCGCGGAATGCAAGCCGGAGGCATCTTAAGTGCGATGTACCACTTTCGAATTGATACCTCGGTGAGTTTTTGCGGTAAACCCGTGTCATCGTCTCGGACGAAACGAAATTTAAAGATTTATAAAGGAGACGCGCGAGAGGAGATCGCATCGGTGGAACCGCGCAGGCAAAAACGCGAGCGACGCATCGCACGCCAAAATTATCCTCTGTTTCATGCCCCGTGCTTGCTTTCTCTCAACATTATTTCTATACAATTAATAAATTCTCTTCTAATTACAGACTGAAAAAACAATTCAGAGTAAACATTCCGTTATCTAATGTATAAGCTTCGTGGATTCACATTTAGACAGATGATGATTATGCACGCGACCACCATACGCGAATGGCTCGTACCCGCCTTCGTTCACCCTCCGCTGACATTTGAATCGAATGGGCATCTTTTTCTCTACGCTCGCGCGATGCATACACCAGCGTTAGATAAATTAATTCGCTACCAACCACTTTGCTGCGACTTGTGTACATCTTGTCCATAGATCACAATTCTTAACGAGACATTCCGTCGATCGATTAGAACGGAGAACCGATCGATATGCAAGATTATGCGAGGATATTTCAATTTGTCGCGCGATCTCAAACACAGGCGAGCGAGACACGGGCGCGCCGAGACGCGGGGAACGCTTCGCCGTGGAGGAGAAGCTGGGGGGGGGGGCACGTGGCCCTCGCGCGCGCGAGTCTGTCGGACGAGGCTCGTGAATGAACCCTCGCTTGAATGCGCCGTGTGCCACGAGCCGCGTGTGTTCGACGTCTCGACTTCGTTATTAATTCATTAACGTCTAAAATTATCGTATTATACGAAAATAATCTTTAATAATTAATGCGATAATCGACAGTTGACTCACAGTCGATGCGGTAAATATAAAATTAATATCATATAATTTATATATATTAATATTGCGACTCATACACGAATGATGACGTAAAAGTCCGTAATTGATTACGTTCATGTTGTAATTAATTAAATCAACCATAGAATCGTGTCATTAATCAAGCTATTGCGTTCTGATAATTTCCTGGTATTTTCTCGTGAGATCAATATACCATATACTTGAGCAGTCCGATTTTTAGGATATTTGTCTGACCTCAAAGTAATCAAAGTTTAAACGCTGTCGTTAATCGCCGAGAGATTAATCATAGAATCCCAGGCATCGCCCGAGAAAACCCGCGGTGGCTGAAGAAATCTGGAGCAAAGTAGGGCTAGGAAGCAGCGTATTTGGAAAGCAACTTGTCCGCGGAATGGAGCGCCGCCGGCTCTCGGGTGAAAGTGATCCAAAATTAACGGGGACGCCTGGAGGCCCCGTAGGTGTCGCCGGATCCGCCGATCGACTGCGGCGGAGACGGTTCGTAACGCAATATCATAAATCTTACGATATCGCGCGAATCGAAGAATGCGAATAGGAAAATCGCGCTCGCAATTTTGCGTTGTATTCCGTTAAGGATGTTAAAGAGAATCTCTTGTAAATAAAAATAAACTTTTATATAAGACGGATAAAAGCCTCGAGCGTGTAAAGTGTCGTCGAAGAATCGCAAATATTACATGTGCCACGTAGAGCTCCCGCGCCACTAAATCTCAACGTTTACATACATTCCATGCTTCGCGTTTTTATCAAGAATTTTATCGAATACTTAAACTCAGAGAATATCATTAGGGGAAGGATAATAATATATATTCTTACACATTGACTTTCCATTTCGATTCATTCTTATTATTTTCTTGCACGAAATTGCATATTTTGAGACGTTTATTTTAAGACGTTTAAGTTAGTCCGCGAAGAGAGTTTTTTTTTCTGTAATGATTTGGTAATAGGAACGTTTTAAGAAGGAATGAACCTGCTAATGTCAGCCGACAGGGAACCGAGAGGAAATTTCGCCGCGGAGTCGCGCGTTCTCGCCGGCGGTGATCCGCGGGAGAAGAATTCTCACGTGAACGCGCGCGATACCGTAAATGGATAGCGCTCGTGGTAGTAGTACCGTTCCTTGGGCCGTGCGTCGCGTGGCACGGTGCGACGCGATGCTGCACAGCGCTGAATGCAACTCTCGGCGGCGCAGGGCGGCTGCGGCGGCGAGGACCGGTTAGGGTCGTCTCCGTATAGCCGCGCGAGAGGAACAGGAACGAGCTAGAAGGATGCGTGGGTGTATCTCTCAGCTATCGAGTTTCTTTCTTCTCCTCTCCTGCGTGCGTGCTCGCCCTCCCGGCGCCCTCCTCCCTCGGATCCCCCGTCGAGCCTCTCCGCCTCGCGCCGCGCGCGGTCGCTTTTACTCGCTTAGCACTCGCTCCTTTTACTCACCGTTCCGCGCATCGCGAAAGAATCTTTCGTCGCGATCGAATTCGCGCACGGCTCGGAGAGGCGAATAGGACAGGCTGCTTGGCGTAGGAGACATTTTACAGCCAGCACGAATCGCGTATAGGTAATTTGTACACGAGATGCGTTTTAAGGATTAATTGTAAGTCGAAGTCTAAAGCGGATCCATTCTGACTCTCGATTATAATAACATGATATATTAATTATTCTGTGCTTCGCTATATTGTTTTAATGCGAAATTTTAATGCGGAATTAACCATATTTACAATTTGAGTCGTCAACTTGTCTCGCTTTAATTCTTTAAACGTCAATTATTTGAGCTCGATCTACGTCTATGCCTACTTTGACCCGAGCATCCAATATCGTAAGTTTTAGCGTCAATCACACGCGAGCTCTCAATCCCGCGCCGTTTACGAAGGTAATACCGCCACGGGCGCGTGTAATAACAATAAGGAAGACATATTCTTCGATAATCGGCGAAGCTGAGGCGGAATGCGGGCATGTTGGCTTGCATTAGCCGGTTGCATTCGGCGCGGTCGCTTGCTCGCGCGGCGCGGCGCGGTCCGGCCGGCGCGATTGCGCTAGAATACAGGTGAGCGTGTTGCGGCATGCAGGTACAGTTAAAGGTCACACCGTGCTGCATCTCTCGCAGCTGAGAGAGGCGCGACGGGGTATACACCTAAGTGTACCGCATCCCGCGGCTCTATCTCACAAAGAGCAACGCTTTGTTCTCTAATAGGTCGCCGCCGTCTCGAAACTCGAACGGAATTCTCTTGCTCGTGAGACATTCGAGAGTCGCGGCGCCGATCGGATCCCCCGCGTATATATATATGTATATCGGTCGATACGCTTTCGCACTTTCGAGCAGAATAATCCGTGAAAAAAAACTCGAATACAAAAAGATTACTGTAATGTATATCTTGAAACATACATATATACATATTTTGCATTAGAAATGGCAGAAGAATATATGTAAAAGAAAAAAAAAAGAGATTTAGATTCCCTTACAGGAATTAATAAAACTCCTGAAAGAAATTTTATCTCGGTAGAAAATTATCAAATGACGGATCAAATTACCTGCGTATAGTCTTAAGAATTAATCGTCTAATAACTCTAATAAGTCAGCGATTCCCAACAGCTCATTATTCGTAATAATTGCGATCGCGCTCTCAGACACGCATCGTCATGCACGTTTTCACTTATGTCTCTGCTCTTGTTGGCTGTTTCAGGCGAGAAACCGTATCAGTGTCAATGGCCGGAATGCGAGTGGCGATTCGCCAGGAGCGACGAATTGACGCGGCATTACCGCAAGCACACCGGGGCTAAGCCCTTTAAATGCGCGGTCTGCGAGCGTTCCTTCGCCAGGAGCGATCATCTCGCGCTGCACATGAAGCGGCACCTCCCGAAGCAGCACACCAAGTGAAGAGAGAGGGAGAGTATATGGGCAGAGAAAGAAAGAAGGAGAAGGAGAGAAATCTCCTCTCTTTGCTTCCCGTTCGTTCTCGACTACCTGTGTTTGGACGCGCGCGCTGCGTGGTTTTCGCCATTCAGGCTTCGAGGCGCGGAACTTTTCGAAAACATCGTTAGTTGGAAAACATCGAGAGTTTATAGAAACGTGTAGAAATTGTCAAAGAAAAAAAAATGGAAAAAAAACTCTTTTCTCAAATAATATTGTAATTTCTAAACAGAGCGATATCTATGACATCACGCATTGCAGATGTTGCATGTATTTACGTTTGTTTCTATATACGCTTCTCTCCGTACGTCATTCACGTTTACTATCGATTCACCGGAGAGCTGCGAATTGAGCGATTCTTTTCAAATTGACTTTCGATCCGCGAACGAAAGCACTCTTCGACTCACGTTCGTTTACGCAATCGTCCCGATGCAATCGAATTTGCTTTGTGCATCGTCCTCGATACGGATTATTCCGCCGCTATATAGTTTCGGAGTCGGCTCTGAACCCGATCGTCGGTCCCGATTCGCAATATTATACATATCAGCGGAGCATCAATCGTATATATACGCTCTTGAAGCGAGCCGTCTCGAGTCGATCGCTTCGGTTACGCTCACTACCGTTCGGTTAAGCAGTCATGACGAAATACATCCTCGGTGTGGGTGGTGATCGCGAGGAAATATTTCGTCATAGCGCTGTATATACTCACTCACGGACAAGTGAGTCCGAGTGAGGGATATTACAATCCCCGTTCCTCGGTAAACTATAAGCGTATAAACTTCACACCGAGACGGGATGGACCCGAGCCGCGTCGACTCGTGCGATGCGAGAAGTGAAGCCAATGCTCTTGGAAAGTAAAAGCGAAAACATCCGTCTTCTAAAAGGCAGGTTATATATTACCGATCTTTTACATTCACCTCGAAACGTTTACCTCGAATCTGACCTGATATACTACGCGGTTCTATTTGAAATATTTGCATTCGCGAAATATTTGCATTCGCGGATGATAAGAATTTTTTCACTCCCATATGTGCACGTGTGTGTTCCCCCCGTAATCTTTTCTACATATTCTTATTTACAAAAGCTTCAACTTGTCGCACAAGTGGGGAAGAAGCTCCGCTAATCGTCATTCATATATTTTTCGAAGCTGGTATACGAGCCGTCACGCGTCTCGCGACGCTTGTCGAGTCTCTCGCGAAATGATTTTGCCAGATTAAAGCAACGCTATCTCGAAATTATCGCTATCTCGAAGCTGGCTGCGCGACTCCGAGATATCCTGTTTGGCGTGTAAACGATCGTCCCCGCACACGGTCGAGCTTAAAGTCGAAGAAGCTTAATCCCGCGTCTCGCGCCGCGCGCGCGCATCACGCATCATCGTCCCGCGTCATCATTTTCGATAGTCGTGTGCTCTAACGCGAAATTCGCCCCGATATTTGCCGAACCACCTCGATAGCAGAAACAGATAGATAGAAGAGCGAGTATCACGCTTCGCCCGTTATCACGTTCGTTTATGTGAGAAACGACACGATATCGTGATGCCTTATGTACAAATTCGCGTAGTCTTGAAGAGATAAGGTGTCTTATGGCGGTCGATGTGCGCGTGCACGTGTATGTATGTGTGGGCGAATGTGTTTGCGTCCGTGTGTGCTATATTGCGAGTGTGTGTATTTATATGCGTATTCTACACACGCGGTAGTCTATATGTATGCGCTTGTGTATACGTGTAAAAAAAAAACCAGAGGAAAAAGCAGAAGATACGCATCTGATAGCCATGTAGCTAGTGTAATATTATCTGTATATTACGCGAAGCGATGGGCCGGGAATAATTCGTTCTCACGCGTGCTCCGATCGATTCGATCCGATCCATCGCTCGTCGTTCACCGTGCTTCGCGCGAAAGGCTGTACACGTACACCCTTTTCGCGTCTGAAATCGTGCGCGCCTTGCGCGAAAACGCGAGAGACGAAAATTTGTAGCGATAGTCAGGGACGGATGCTCGCGTCGAGGAGACGATTAATTCCTTTAGGTCTCGATCTCTTGAATCGCTGAAAACTTGGCGAGATATTTTTCGAATAATGAACAATCTCTTTCAATTGCACGTGTCCCTTTAATAGCAGCTCCTCGCTTATGATAATGCCTCCGTATGCCCAAAGACTTGTCTCCAAATCTAAACGCTGTCAAAGACCTCGATGTAACTTTTCCGAAATATCAACCAAAATTTTTTTTTTTTTTTAATTATAAGGACAGAGATGCATCTTCTCTCTTTAACGCGTTTTATCGCTAACGAGAAGCCGGACAGAGTCCAGCTTTAGGCCTCGAAAAGTTCTCGTCCGTCCCTGGCGCGCGCGCGGAGAAAGAGTGGCGTCGGCGAAAAGCGATTTCGCGTATATCCGGACGTTCCGTTACGTTCCGATACGCGAGCATGTCCCACCTTCGGGAGGAGCGCGCGCAGCGCAGGAGGCCAAAAATTCTGTCCGTATAGTCCGCCGCTTTGTATACAACGCGCGAATCGTTGTAATAAAATCGATCGATCGGATCGTTATGTAGTTACGTAGTTACGAACGTTAGACGGAAAAACGAAGTAACGTGTCTATTTATATCTGTCTATCTCCGCCTAATCTCTGCCTATCTCACGTCACCGCATTCTTCCAAATTGACTCTTTCGAGTCGTCGTCGTCGTCGTCATCCCTCTTTCCCTAGCTCGTACCCGATTCGCGACACGCGTGTCGCGGATCTTCCTTCATCTCGTCATCCACATCTCGTCTTCTCTCCCCTTCCTCCCTCCCCCTTTTCGTTTCCGTCTCGTCTTCCCTTCGTCTTCTTCTCCGCTAATAGCGATCCCGCTTGTCCTGCCTTTGGATCGACTTTACGATATACTATTATATTATAAATGTGAAATATACCTCATTTGCAGATACGCAGCAATAGTAGTCGACCGCGAGCCCGCTCCGATGCGCGCTAAATCAAATTTCTCTACGCACCTCCTACTCTCGACTTTACGGTCTGTCTATAATGTTTACGCTGTAATTTGTGTGTTGTGTAATTTAAATATATGCGAAATGGTATATCTCTCTGTAAAGCAGCCGCGGTTTTTTTTTTTATAATACCGGTGACCTCTCGTGACCGCCTCTGTTACTTCCCAGTCACTCGACTCGTCTCCACGGAGAAGTACCACCGCTTTGCGCTTTCGCGCCATCTAGCGTCGAGAGTATGGAACTACATGCTCGATTGCATTACCGACAAATCTTCATCGCGTCTCAAAACAGGATAGGTTAGCGCGATCGTTCGTAAATATATATATGGTCAAATTAACATTTCTAAATAATATAAACAACCTTCTTTCGCACGTAATCCATCGACGTAATCTACGAAAGAGACACGCAAGAGTATGATTCCCGAAATACAAATGGAAAATAAAATTCGGTAAGGCTGACGTGCGTGTAGGTTAGATTCAATTGGACTCACAAATCTAACAAGTATTTATCAAATTTCGACTCGAGATTCTTGTTTTCTCGCATGATACAAGTAAGGACGGACAAGTCTATTAAATGTTAAGACTATGGTAGCTGCAAAGTTGTTGGGTTTTCGAATTCCAAATGGATCCAAACAGACGTGCAAAGTGGTGTTAAGATTCCAGTGGAATCTCTCTCTCCAGACGTGTCAGGACGATATTACGATCCGTCTCATTAGGTAAACGTGATCTGTCCCCCGTCTTCAGCGATGCTCTCATGTCCAGACACATGACCTCGGTGTTCAGAGAGTGCTGTTTGTCTTCCAAATTCATGTCGATACGTATGAGCAGGGATTCCAGGCTGTTGTAGTTTGCCCTGAAGAATTAATTAAACTTAATGCTTGCACTTAATAAAAAAAAAAAAGAAATGGCAAATAACTCTATTAATGAATCTAATAACATTAGACACAAATGCATACTTTGCGTGCTCGATCATCTTAATTAGATTCTCTTCGGTCTGTTTTAGTTGCAGGGCTTCGTTCTTCAAGCCTGATTCAACTTCGTCCTTGCAAAGCTCCGAGCCAGGCCGATAAACGCGATTCTCCAGTCGCGTCTCGACGCACTTCACCACATCTACTTTACTTATCAGCGCTCCTTCTAACTGGCTTATCTCGTTCCCCAACATCTCCATTTCCTTCTGCACCTGTTTACATTGAGAAACACAGATAAGAACAAGTTCTCCTTTTTATATTTGATATTTGTCAAATTGTCAAATTAATTACTTCAAATCAATTACTTAATTTATTCTTATTCTATATATCCATATGAAAATTGATCAAAATTTAAATAGGGAGAAGTGTAATTGACCATGCATACCTTCAGCTTCTGCCACTCCATCTCATTTCTGGCTTTTTGCGTTTGATAAATTCTCTTTCTCAAAGTGTAATCCGTCGCGTCTTGCTGAGCTTTAATATCATTCGATGCATGTTCCCGCGTTACACGTGTAGCTTCGCGAAAAGCGTAACAGTCACTCAGTTCGTTTTCGGCTGATAACTTAGAGCAACGACACCGGTCCAGCCAAACCTCGTACGTGATTGAACTGTTGAAGTGGAAAGGGACAAGTTACGAATTGATGATACAGCGATTGCGATATGGAGAAAGCAACGGTTTACCTTGTCTTATCGATAACTGACGGCTTGTAACTTATATTCGCGCAAGTGCGATCCAGTTCGAGATTCCCCGTGTCTATTTTAATGGTCTCATTTTTGTCCTCTATGTCCAAGCTCAACTTGAATTTCAGGGCTTCCAAGCGATTCAACTTTTCCCACGCGGCCTGCGTTCTGTTGTAAGTAAAAAGAATGAAATAGATGAGAAGGATTTTTTTTTATCTTTCTGTTATGTACCATCAGCTCTTGATCACCTTTTGGTCAGTGCTTCGTGAATATTCGCAATCAAGAGGAGCTCCTTTTTTAGCTCGATATCAGCCTCGTCGTACGTGAGCTCGGCTTCTCTACGGCGGTCCCTCATCGAGATGCATTCGCTGACGATACGCAGAGGATGAGCTATGTTTTCGATGTCCTTGTCCGTGTTGGCTTTCTCGTCGCTTAACAAGCGTATCTCGGTTAGCAATTTTTGCAGCAGGTCCTCGAGAACGTCCTTCCATCTCGCTAGCTCTAACACTCTGGCAAAACAAAATGTACGTCTCAAATGTTTGTGTTTCTCGTTTGTACGAAGTCAATTGCAACTTGGTCACTTCTAAGTGCTCTAACTATGCAAGGGGACAAAGAACTGATCGGAAATTAATTGTGTGGAGTTTGTCAAGAGTAACTCGCGGTCACCTGTCCGCTATTCGAGCATCGTTCATGTAGATGTCCCATTGCGTTCTCACGTTCCCCTCGGAACGAGCGGACTTGCTCGAATTTCGCAATCGACAGGCCTCGGATCTTCTGACGTCCGCGCTTTGTCGGAGCTCAAATTGCTTGGTGTACCAGTCCGACATGCCGATATGAGGCAGAGGTTTTTCGTAAGTGCTAACGAATTTGGCCATGCTGATGAGAATTCGTTTTTTGATAATGAAGAAAAAGGGAACCGAGCTGAACGAGGGAACGAGGAAGCGAGAGGTATTACATTCTAACAAGTCGGCGCTGGATAAACGATTTGATCGCAACGTTGTCAGGACAACGAGAGAAGGTGAGGTAAGCGAAATTGGTGTGCAATCGTTCTCCTCGCCAAGTCTTATTGTTAGACTGAATCGCGAATGCGAATGTTCGATCTGACAAATCTTGAATAATATTTTATTAATATATTGTCAGTAATAAAAATTTTATGATGTCAATGTCGATTAAAAGATCGAATGCGATCAATTAAATGCTTAGAAGAAATCAATAGAATTAATCGAAATTAAGATTATCGAATTTTTTAAGGGTTTTTTTTTTCAAATTCCATTTTAGAATTAGACGGCAATTGCGCTCGATCTTTAAAGTGACGTACTGCGAGAGAGGGTGCCTCGGGTGCTTTTGAATAAATTGCTTTTAATTTTTGTTTTTGTTTTTTTCCTTTTCAAGATATATATATTTGGCAGAGACACGAACGACGCCGTGATTAATTATTAAAGCGGGAGTTTCGAGAGGGGGAACGAAGATATGGTCCCTCGCGTTATCGTGACTCGGCTGAAATTCGTGCAACGCCATTTTATGTATCGATTCGATGACGAATTCAAACTGCACCGTTGTCTTCCGGTAACATCCGCGATCAACATGGCCGTTTCGTGTAAAGGCCGGCAGTGGTGGAAGACGCCTCGTCCTTAAAGGTATAGTGTAAATTTAGCGTAGTTTAGCGTATGACGGCCGCGTCTCGTGCGATTTCGTGTTCCACGTTGACAACAATTATCAGCGACTCGTCGCTCATTCAGCGGCTTCGCCGATTCGCTAGAAGAGTCAATCGATCTTTCCAACGGGTTTTACGACGCACACGTACGCCATAAAATGGGCATCGTTCAGCTGCACTCGTCTGCACTTTTTGCGTTGCGAACGAAGTAAGCGTGAAGTAAGATGTATATCGAACTTCGAAAGGAGAGTTTCTGAGGAGAAGAAACGGAAGTGCAGAGAGTGTAAGTGAAACGAACGGTCGAACACGGGGCATCCTCGTCACCGGGGTGAGGGGAAGTTAACCGGAAGTCAGTCCGGACGATACAGCTTCTTGCAGTTTCGGTAACATAAAAGAAAATGAAAAAATACGCTGGCTGATAAAGTGAATATATTGGGAGAAATATCGTTAAAATTAGAGATACAATCATTGTCAAATCATATTTTACTAATTTTACTTAATGCAGTAGTGTCGCGTTCGGAGGAGGAAGAAAAAAATATAGGACAAATAGAAAATCAATCCTTCGGAAATACTTGGCATTTACACGCGCGGGGCACAGAATAAGCAGGACTTGAAGTCGCACGCCAACTTTATTAAAATTGAATATAAGAATTGGTAATTCAAACCGAAGACCGACTTTCTTCTCTTATTGGGATGAGTTGTTGGCAGAAATTTGTATTTTTTTTCTGTAAGTTATCGATTTCTTCCTGATCCAATTGATATTACATGGAGAGATAAATTTATAAGGAAATTTTACAGGTACAATAATATAATTTACAGCAAAATTTTAAGTATTAAAAGTAATAAAATCTTTATAAAGTATATTATATCAATCTGCACTCACAATCGACAGCGAAGAGATCAGCCTTTGTCAGATCATCTGGTTCGCGCATATGTCATCATTTCGATCACGTATGTATATTTTGTTACAATAAAAGGTGACACAGGTCCCCTCCTGGCAAAAAAAATAAACGTTATTAACATAATGCGACGTATTATCAACATAAATTCTTAAATCAAGACATAAGATTTTATGACGTCTTATGTCACGATTTTGTACTTTGTGTTGTCCGAACTCCAAGGTTAAGGCTGAGGTAAATTTAACAAAATTGTTAAGTAGGCTGCAAAAACGGACCCTTGCATCTTGGCCCGAGTCTGTCGAAGTCGATCACGTGATTGGTGACGTAGTTCACGTATGCGCATCAAAGTCCCGCCTGAAGAGCGTTCTCTACGATTTGTGACACCGACTGTACCTGGTACTCTCCGTGACAAATACGCACGGACGTGCGTGTAGTACTCGCGTGCAGACGTGTATAAAAAGCTGAAATGCGCGCGCAGCCGCGCACTGTTGCCGAATACGAGACGAGAGCGTAAACTTCCTCTTTGTAGCAATTCGGAACGCGGCGGGAAGGGAATCGGCTTACTGTTCTCTCGTGAACGAGCGAGGGGAAGGCCCGGAGGAAGGCCGGCTGAGCGAGAGTAACCGCGAGAAGGCGCGAAGGGGCTGAAGAGGGGGTGAGAAGGCGGAGGAGAAGGAAGAAGAAGAGGAGGAAAGAAGGAGAAGCGAGAGAGGTTCCAGTGGTGCGATAGGCATAGGTCGTGTAAAGAAATCGTCGTCGGGAATCGTAGGATCCGAGAGCGCGGGTCGAGAACCAACCGGAATCGTGGAGGTATTATGCGTCGGCTCGGTATGAAGAACAAGCATAAAAAGTCCGATACGGCGAGCGACAGCGGGTCGGAGGAAAATGTCGGCGCACGCGCGGGCAGCGACAACGGTGAGACTCAGGCCGGCAGGAACAACAACAATGCGCAAAAGTCCGCGACGAAGAGACGCTCGTCGCGCGGTGTATCGTCGGTGCAAAAGTCGGCGGCGCACACGGACGACGACGCCGAGACGCCGGACGCCGGCGACCCCGCGGCGGTAGACTCGGAGAAGCGGGAAAACGGCGAGAAGATGGCGGGGAAACCGCCTCCGAGTAAACGCAAGAGGAAGGAGGATCAGCGAGCGTCCACCTCCGCCCGCGACCAATCTGTCAACCTCGAGAACGAGTACGAGGTATGGCGGTGTTTATTTTACACGTATTCTTCGTCTATCCGCGCGCGTTGTAGCCGATCGCCGGTTACGTTTAAATTAATAATGCAAATGAGCGATCGGTTGGAGATTATCGCAAAGTAAATTTCCTCATTATACGTCTGAAAAGTATTTTACATATTTTAATTTTCCCTTGCGTAGCTGATTTTCGGAATGTTGATTGTTGATTAGGTTTACCGTCGTCTGTGACGGTTTGCTTTGCACAGAGATCATTGGTCGATCGCATGTCCCTCCTTTTTTATTCATCCAATGAATGTCGCGCAGAAGGGAATCGCGCACGAGGTATATGTAAAGTTAGCAACAGGAATGAACGAACCTTTTACAATAGAATGTTAAAAAAGTCGATTTTATTTAAACATTAATTGCTTTAAAAAAATTATAAAATAAAAAAAATTACATAAAGTTTCAAGAACTTTTTGTATTTTGTATGCATGTGAATTTTGAAGGGTTTTCTGTATAATATAAAATAATAATTGATATAGACAATAATTAATAATATTTGTGAAACGTTGAAAACTTCAGATTTTTTTATTTGTTAAAAATGTGAAACTTTTTTTTTACAGGTCGAGAAACTCATGAATATTCGTACTATTAAAGGCCGTCGACAGTTTTTGGTAAGGTGGTTCGGTTATGGAGAATCTGCAGACACTTGGGAAAATGAGAAGGATCTGAATTGTCCTGAATTGATAGAAGATTTTCTAGAAAAAGAAAAGGAAAAGGAAATAAAAATGACAAAAACAGATAAATCCAAAAAATCCAAGAATACTTCTAAGAAGCAAGCGGAAAATGGTATGTCATTACTTATAATCTTGAAATATTATTTATTATGAAAATAATCTGCATTTGTGTCATTCTTCTAGACGAGCAAAATAGTAACGACAAGGAGACAAAGGAATTTGAGGTCGAAAGAATCATTGAGGTACGCTTTAAGAAAAATGGCATGAAAGAATTTCTAATCAGATGGAAAGGATTTAGTGCAACCGACGACACTTGGGAGCCGGAGAAAAACCTGAATTGCGCGGAACTCATCTCAAAGTTTATGCAAAAGGTGGAAAAGGCGAAGACTTCCGGAGTGCGGGAACTCAGAACGAATCCGGCACATACGAAACGATATACGTTGGCGACACGCGACCATGGAAGAAGGTTATCAAAACGCAATATAGACAAACAAAGGTACTTAATCACTTTCAATCGCGATTATCGCAATCATAAATTTTAATTACATTTTATTAGAAATAAAAATGTAATTTTTTTTGCAGAGCAACTTATCACGAGTGCGACGAATGAAGACTATCGCAGTCCCAATATCTTTATTTTATTCAAAGAATTTATATATATATAAATATATATATATAAATATATATATATATATACATATATATTTATATATATATATACACACATATAGCTTGTAGTTCTACAAAAAGAATGGAAGACAGTTTGACAGAAAGAAACAAAAAATAAATATATCCAAACGAATAATTTGATATTAGAATATTAGAAGTATGTAATATATATAAGGCCTCTCCCTGAGGAGGTAAAGAGTCCGTGTGAATAAGAAGTAATCAATATATGTACACATATATGTGTATTACACAGAAAGACTTATAGTTGTCAGAATATTTGTATTATCGCGCGCGCGCGATTGTGTGACGTAGTAAAAGAAATTTATTTAAATGTATAACGCGAGGAAGTTCATATTCTTTTTCGCTTTTGATGTAATTGGTTATGAAGAGAGAAGTTTTAAGAAAGAAAAAAAATTATAATTCGTTCATTGAAGTTATACGAAAAGGGAGAGGACTATTATTTTCTCCCGGATAAGGTGTATCGTTTATTTTTTTTTTAGAGATGTAGCACACAGAATAGATAACTTGTTTGAGCTTTCACACCGCCTTTTTATTTTACATTACGATTAGGATACATATTCACAATTTGTAGCCAACAGAAGCATTTTGTTTGAAATCGCTTTTTATCTATTCGAGCTTTTTACTGTCGTTATGCAATATTAATTTTAATATCAACTATATCAAATGCAATCGTATTTTTTCCAAAAAGATATTTTTTAAAGAGCCTTCTATTATATATATAAAAAAAATGGAAGCCATTGGAAGATACGTGTTTCAATGAAACAAGCAAATAGTGAATTGCTGATTTGTCAAAATATAATAGTCTTATTATAACTTTAGCATAAGGAAATTAAAAGAAAAATACTCGTGTTTAAGAAGATTGTTTATTTAGCCATTTATACACGTTCACTCCTTTTTACTTCCTTTACTTGCAAACCTTAAAAAAAAAATTACATATTTACTAGAAACGTAAATCCAAAAATTTGTTATTTAAACATTACAATATCTACTAAAATTATGAAGAATATTACAAAGAAACATTAAAAGATGTTACGTTGTCAATTCCAATTATAAAATATAATTGTCAAGTTTTTATTATACCTGGTGGTAAGGACTGCTTGAGCTTCTCAGCCTTCTCCTTGTCTGTGATTACGAGAGTGTACAAAAATCGGGAGCAACGAACTTTGAACTTGACATTGTCAGCGTTCTTCTTGATTTTCACAGCTGAAGAAAGAACAGGGGGAAACGATTATATTTACGCAAAACAAAGGGAAGAAACATTTTAACTAATGAAAAAGATATTTTACACTTTGCATCCTTCCTCCTGGCTTTCAGCAGAAAGTCCTTGATCTCTTTGATTTCTCGTGGCTGAAAACACACAAAACAAAATATTTTTATGCACCTACTGACTTGAGCTGTTTTTCTTTGTTAGTTTCCTCCGACTGGAGGATTTGTCTGATCTTTTGCCATTTCTGTGGATACTTTGGTACAGAGTCTCTTATTCTAGAATGTTTTTTTATCTTTAATTTGAGCAACTTTTTTTTAAGGTTATGTCGCAAATATTATAGCTTAACGTCAACATAGCGAGGTAAAGCATGCTTTCGTGCGTATCCGAAAACGCGTAAAATGTAGCAAAGTTAAACGGCACATATTACTACACTCACCATTATTTTTTGCGATCGATTAGCGTAATTAGCTGGACCCCCTGAAACAGAAGTAAAATTCGATGAAAAATTTGTAGCGAAATGCGAAATGATTCAGGACGTATGAAACATCGTGCTTTTTCGTACGAGCGCGAAGGAACATTTTTGCGAAATGATAAACGATGACGAACGAACGATACGGATGCAAAATAAATTCCACAAAGGCATGTTATACTCACTCAGAACGCACGTTCAGGGAAACGAAAAGGAACGAGGTTGGAATGGTCGAATGGACGAGTGCGTGAGTGCGCGACAGTCGCGAGTTAGTCAGCTTAGGTTAGGTTTTGCAAGCTAGTCAAATCCACGATGTTATATATAAATATTGTAAATGATCGAATCAACAATCGAATTCGAAATGGGAAAGTGGCAAAATCTAGGTAATAATTTCAGGAAGAATGTAGGGTACAATTTTGACGGGAATAATATATGTATAGATGACGAAAATATTATCGGGGAACATGTTTGCGTGCAAAGTTATAAATTCTTGAGGAATTAAAATTATAATTTTCGTAACAGAGATCGACCAGCTGTTCATCGGTAAAGCAGGACACACGTTGCTCAAGTAATAATATAGTCCTTTTACGGTTTGAAAAATTTCAACAAGGAAGATTTATGTAGAAAAATACAGCTGGCTTTTATTTTGCAAATAAAATAACGTATATACATACATAATATATATGTATGTACAGGTATGTATAATGTGATTAGATTATATATATATACATATATATATATGTATATATATCTAATTTGAGATATAATATATATAAAAGTTGATTTTAGATTATTTATGAATCATTCATGGATGGCAGTTATCTCGTTCATATCGGCTTGGACGGCCTGCAACGCGTAAGAGGAAATAATTCACCGCTAGGACCGCAGGACGGATCGCGCGTTTTCCAGTCGTAAGACATCGCTCGTGCTTCCGGTTTTTTCGTCATATATATTTATGCGACTATTCGCATTCGACCGGATCGGTCGAGTCGATTGGAGCGTGAGTAAAATACAACTTATACAACACGCAACATTTAGCAGATCTCGACCAACCTTCAACCTTGACGCAGTCGCGCGAGTTCGCAGGACTCGGGAGTTACGCGCACACACACACACACGATCGTGGCTCGCATCGACGTTGTCGAGGGTCGCCGAGGGATCCGATCAGGCCCGTCTCGTCTCGCCGCCCTCGCCGGGGAAGTCGATGCTTGGCTAGACGAGGAGACGCAGCATGGAAAGCGCGGAGCAGCCGAGCAGTAACGAGCAGAAACCGAAAGACAGGTTAGTCGGCCTGCTGGATCACATTGAGACGCACGTCGAACAATTGCGGAAGGATGCCGCTAGGCTCATGGAGGAGAAGGACGGTCTGCTGACGACGTTGGACACCCTCAGGAATAACGACATCCTGTATACCCTCGAGGAACGTGAGTGGACAACTTGATTTACTTCACCGGCGATTAATGGGAGACCCCCAAAATATTTCGGTTTAATTGTGATTAAATATCGAGTGGTAAAGGGAGAAGGTCAGAGATTTTACTGCTCGGAGTGATTTTTTTATTCTGTGATCAGTATAATATAGTATTCTCATGTTGCACGTGTTTCTAATAGTTATAGGATTATCACTTTTGATCGTGGATGAAAATCTAAAGAAACATTAAAATAACAGAGGATTACACAGGTTACTTATTAAACGGCAGTAACTTTTTTAAACATTTATTATATACGTTCCAAATTAAATGTAAATTGAAATGATATTAAAAATACCTATCGCATATCTTTTTATCCAGCTGATAGGGACGATATCTTGAGGTATGCCGATAGATTGTCCATGCGATGTTCCACTGTAGATGTGTTGGTCACAGTCCAGCGAGATCATGTTCAGGAAGAAGCGTTACATCAGGTATTTAAGACTCGGTTATCTTATAAAGGTGTAATTTTATAATTCAATGAGCAATCGAATATTATTTTATTTCTAGGTTAACGGCCTGATTGACAGCTTGGTCATAGGTTTGCGGCAGGACCCAAACGGCACTCGGCAGCGATGCGCGGAATTCATGAACGCGTGCTCCTCGCACAGCATAGGACATTCCGACAAAATCTTCGAGACTGCTATTCTTGGATGCACGTTGGACGATCAAAAGCGTGTCAAGAAGAGACTACAGGGATTGCTTGATTATATCGATAAGATGCACATCTTGGAGATGACGCAGTAAATAACACCAACAGATTGTTCAGCCGATTTAAATCTGCCTCATTTTCCATACGAGTATTCGCGAATGGCGAGGATTTTCTCTACGGTCTAGCGCTGTGTAGCGAATTCAGAGACACTTGAGAGAGAGATGCATTCTTTGCGCCTTTTCTGCACGGCTAAGTCTCCATTTTTCTTCCACTTAACGAATAGCTGCTTCGAATGGAACGCTTAGCTGTGTACAGAATGCACAATGATCGATTGGATTTAATCTTGTAACGATACTCGATATCGATTCTCGGCGTTTATGTGATTCCATGAAGCATATTTTAAGGTATGTACTTGGCATTTCGGCGCTTTACAAAAGTATAAGGAAAAGCGTTTTGAAAAAGCGTTCGATAACATTTTCCAAATCTGTACGTTTTGAAATAAACAGGAATTTCTGGAGGATGTGTACAACCGTAACTGTAAAATTTTAAATATTACGTGAATAATGTAACATTGAAAATATAAAGTAAATGGGCCTCTTTACACTCTCACTCTAATAGGATCGTGTATTTACCTTTGTGAAACATCAGTGGCTGATTAATGTTTCGAGTGTGACGAGAGAACGGTTACATTATCTTATTGTCCAATATAAATTCTCCTGATTCGAGATATTTGATTAATTTTTGAATTTGAAATCCCTTTTTCTTTATTTTTCACTTATCGCGCCTCTTATCAAGATTCGCTTATCAAGGATTATTTTATTTTTAGCAAAATGTACAGAGATTTTATTGTGTTCTGTAATATTACAAATAAGTAAAAATATTACATTAGTTATTAAGTAACTTATTGTAATATATTATTGTCTTAGAAAATCATAGTTTACACTAACTTGTTTGTGTTTAAGGCTTTCACTTTCTCACTATAATCTAATTTAATGACGTCAGAAGTGAGACATGTGAAAGAAAAAAGAAATGCATATGATTTTTCATTTTTAGCATAGTAGTTCAGTACAATAGGAGAAACAAAAGCCTTAAATCACAATACGTGTTTGGAATGCATTTTTAGTTTGTTGATTTTCAAATTTTGCAAAATCAAACTTGATCTTAAGTTATTATATTTTGGATTTGGATATAAGTAATATCGACGCGCTAATCTGTAAATAATACTAATTAAATTACTATTACCGTCGTTATTTAACGCTACGTTCATATCGACATTAAAATCTTAATTTGATAATTTGGTCCTTGGATGCGATGCAATTTAAAGATTAATATAATATGGCGAGATATTTACAAATTTACGCGTCATATTCGTGTTACGTTACTATTCCCATTCCGCATTTGCGGGTACGCACAGCTGCAGTTAATATTTTGCGATTAATCTTCTTCCGTACCTTACATAATCTACAACCATTTGGTTAAAAACGTTATGAGCATAATTATGGTGATTATTTCTATTGCGTTTAATGAGTTTCCCAAATGTTATGCGTACTATGTGTTTGAAACCGTTGTAGGCCGTTAATTAGAATACAATAGACTTGCACTATCGGACACTGTAAATCACCGTCCGTTTACGCCTTCTCAGAGAATAAACTATATATATTTACAAGACACCCGTACCTTTGACATATTCGTACAACACTCGGAGCGCGATGTAACGTTATCCTAACGTACACTACGAGAAAATAGCTACAAGAGTCTACATGCGTTTTTCACAAAATTTCGTTTTTTATGACTCTTCGTTTTGCCGCCGGGCCGAAGGATTATCGTTCCATTACCGGCGTTACGACCGCACATTGAGCCATCCGGACTAAATGCACCTGCGAACAGAGAGAGAGAAAGAGACGTAACATCACTCGTACTGTAGACGAACGCTACGGATCTGTGCAATACAATTGAATCTACTCTTACTGATGACGGAAGGAGACCTAGGCTCCGCCGAATATAATCTCAGATCGTCCTGGTAGTCATCGTCACAGCGACGCATCTCGTGCAGGCATCGGGACGCCAAGTGTCGGAAGACGCTCATCACGCCGATGTCCTCCTTCACGGACGTCCGCAGGAGTTTGCAGCCTAAGGCGCGGCCGAGCCTCTCGGCTTCGTCCCTGTAATATCGGGCGCTTCAGATACAAGTTTCATTTTAAGGAAATTGCTCGATAGAAATTGTTTAGCGCGCACTCACGGGTCGATCACGTTCTGGTCGACGAGATCAATTTTATTTTGCACCAGGACTGTGGGTATTTCTCCGCACTCGTTCTCGACCTACAAGAGAACATTTTAGGAAGATTATACAAAATATCCGAAAAACTAGATATGTCTTTTCCGCCAGTTTAAAGTCGATTTTCTTTGATTAAAAGTAGTAAATAATTTTCGATAATTTTAATAAGCAATGGGAAAAGGGTTTAAAGTGAACTAAATTTTGGGGAATAAATAACGAAACTGTTATTCCTCGATTAACTTTAAATAAAATTAATAGATTTGTACCTTGAGCTTCCACGTGGGAATAGCATCGAAAGAATCTCTATCGGTCGCCGAATAAGCGAGGACACAGGCATGGGCGCCGCGATAATAAGCCGCGGTTATTGCGTCAAATTCTTCCTGCCCTGCAGTATCCCACAGCATCAGTCTTACATCCTCACTGTCGACTCTGTTAACACAAGATATATTTATATATGCATTTATTTAAATTGTTATTCGTTACTGCATTATTTAATCCTTCGCAATCTTAGAAAAAAATGTTTATCTTTGGATTTCCTCGAATATTTTATTGTTATCACGAAATTCATAATCTTAATTTTAATTACTTATCTTCCTAATAATTTTATTTGTGCAAATGCATGTGGTCTTTAAATTAATTTCAATTTTTGCAATTTACATGATTGCTACGAATATTTTACTGCTATCACGAAATTCATAATTTAAATTTTAATTACTTATTTTCCTAATAATTTTATTTGTGCGAATGCATATGGTCTTTAAATTAATTCCAATTGTTGCAATTTATGCTTGCTACGAATACTTTACTGTCATCACGAAGTTCATAATTTTAATGACTTATCTTCCTAATAATTTTATTTGTGCGAATGCATATCATTAAATTAATTCCAATTGCTGCAATTTATGATTGCTACGAAGGCATACGAAGAATGACTAATAGCAGGATAGATATTAAAAGATGAATCGTACAGAGATAAAAATTCCTTCCTATATTGACCGACATTACGGTCGGTACTCGGCGTCGAGAGGGGGATACGAGAAGTATCCCACGGTAGCTCGCGCTGGCACGATTAAAATCGGGTTTTTCTCAGGCACGTCGCTCTCAACTTGTACACGCGTATATAGCATGTGATGATCAACAACGAATAATCAGATCAGTAGACATAATATCCGAATCGAATTTAATTTGCCTGCACTAGAATTCGTTGTACGATTACGTTGGAAAAATATGTGAAACATTCACGGATCCCCTTCTGCTCTAAATGTTGTATATATTCTGATTATTTTCTATATAACGTCCACGATATTCCTCAATACAATCTTCCTAAATCTTAAAGATTTTAAACCAAACAATAAATAACTTGTAATAGATTCGCTCGTGTTCCGAATGTCGCGTTTGCGTCGGATCAAGTTAATTTCGAATTGAAACAACTCGACACGTTCCGCCAGTCGATTATACTTACTCGATCTCACGCTCTAGGAAGTCGACGCCGATCGTCTTCTTGTAGTCCCTCGTATATGTACCTTTGCAAAACCTTTGAATCATCGACGACTTCCCTACGGCGCCGTTGCCCACTATCACCACCTGAGCGAGAGAGATATTAATGTTACTGTTTATCCGAATAAACGATCGAAGAATTACACGTAGAATATATACTAAGTATACTTTTCATTTTACATAAATTAACAGCTATCGATCGAATCATCGAATGGCCCAAATAATAATTTTTACCAAATGCGACCGACGGCGCGTCGCGTGAGGAAGTGGGTTACATCGATAGAGACATAAGTCCATAAAAAAAAAACCGGTCGCCGAGGGCAATGTCACACACGTCTACCGACATGCTTTAGACTTTGTGATTTAAAGCGACGAAAGGAATTTCAGAAATGTATTCGTATACGAAAGTATACCGAAGCATATTCTTCGAACATCGATACAGTGAAATTTATGTCTAATCTGTGCCGGATTTTTTTTTCCTTCAGTCTCCGCACACGTGCACTCTTATCTGAACTTATCCATCCTGATAGCTGTAAACCGCGGTAAGTTAAGTAAATCGTGTTCTCCGCGTTTGACTGGTTTCGCTATGTACCGGGAGAGCGAGAGTCGACTCTGCTCCGAGACGATCCTATCCCGGAACTATATATTAATAATTTTAATTTAAACGTCAAATATATGACGTTTCTCGACTTTAGAATCGCTGGATGACGGCAGCTTTCTCGTATTACAATTAGCGAAAATGTGCCATCGCAAAGTGATCGCAAATCAATAGCGCGACATTTGTCGGTTTATTTCGAGCGGGAGCTTCTATCAGGTATAGAATTTCTAACTCGGCCGCAAAGATATGCGGCGTAGAGAGTTGCGATGACTATTCACGATATCTCGGCCAAGAAAAATCCTATCGGAAAGAGATGCGACTGAAATAATATATCCGGGCAATTCGGGGACACGCTGTATAAATCATAATATGATAAGAAAAATGCGAATGCATTGCAGTCTCCCGCAAGGACAGGCCGGGTATGCGATGAAAACGCGAGTAAGTACCGTTACCGGCAATCGGGAGATAAGCAGAGATCACTGGAGCAGCACCGAACTCGCATGCGCTTCCCTTCTTTTTGCAGAATTACCACTTTAGCGCGGGCTGCGATTGAAGGGTCGGACGTGACGCGTCAACAGCCGTGAGATAACTCGATCGTTGCGTACAAAACTTTATTTCCTGCGTCCTTCTATATATGAATATTATAGAATACTATTATAAAAATTTATAAAAAAATTTATCCCCCTTTTTTACTCGTTTTTCCAAGTTGTCCAGATTTTAAGCTTGAAGCTTAATTATTTAATTTTTCAATTAAGCAATAATTGTTATGATACAATATGGTGCATACGTGAATTCTCCGCTCAGCTCTCCGCCGCGACCGATTAATTACACGCGCCGGGTTCGACCTCGCGTGTTAATCGCGTGCGAAATTTATCGAGTCGATTCTCGACGAGCATCGCGAACTCTCGGCGACGCTCGCGCCGAGAAGTCGGATAATTTTCAAGGCGGTTGATGCATTTCGTGTATGAAATTCGTGGAAAAAAAAAATCAGCGATCAGATAAATAGAGTTAGCGGCGCATAAATATCGTGGTCATGATGATTCGAACGAGCTGATTCGAGTTGTTGCGAGTTAATTTGCGTACAAATGAGACCGCCAAAGTGATTATTACCGGAATAAACATCGGGTAACGGTTCCATTTATACGTAAATATCACGGAGAAAGCGAATTCCATACTTCTTCTTTCTAGCTAACAATAAGAAACGAAAGATAATTGTACAGGTGTATTTCTGCTGATTGAGATCTCCATGATATTATTCAAGCATGCCTTCTTCGAAAAATTACTTCCAAGACTTCCATATAACACCTTTCGTAGAAGGAATCCGTGAAATGTGTGACGATCTCGTTTAAGTCGTTAGGACACCCCGTGTCTGTCCACCGAGTTATTCCGGGGAGGAGAAGTCACACTCGTCGCGACGCGAGCGAGCATCGAGGAACGCGCTTGGAGCAGATAAAAAAATCGTGGAGGTGCGGCCTCGCCGGAAAACACATAGTGACGGCGTTGCGCATATTATAGTGGCACGACGACGCGCGCTACAGCGAGGATGCGCGAGGAGGCCGCACTTTCCTTTCCGGCGGAAAATCGCGGCGGACGAAAGCGCGAATGGGAAAAATCGCGTCCGTCCCTCTTCGCGGTCGCGCTCTATCGCACACCGCACGCTCTCTGCACGCGGAACACGAGGCGCGGAACGCGGGTCCCGCGGAATTTGGAGGGACACCTAGACGGGGCAGGAGAGAGAATAATGAAAAGGAAAAAAATCGCAGTTAAAGTACGAAACTGAGAGAGGGAACGGAAGAAGAGACCGGGAGCGGCTCCGCGCGATTACCTTGAGTGATATCTCGAGCTCTTCCTCCCTCATTCTGACCGTAAAAGGCGATTAACATAATATCCCAGTGGAACGCGAGTCCATCCTTCCATCGGTCGGGCGTGCGCGTAGATCGCTGTTGAAAATTTTAACGTTTATTCGAAAGCAGCATGTATGATGAGGATATCAAGGCAAGAGGAAGAGAGGAATCGCTTGTCTCTCTCTCTCTCTCTCTCCTTCTCTCCTTCACCTCCTCTCTCTTCTTCTCGGTATTCCCGAGTCGATGACTTTGCGCCTCGGCCGAGTCATTATTCAGAGCTCCGACACACGGCGTCGCGCCGCCGCATTTCTTCTCATCGTTCTCCGCGCGCGCGGTATATCACTTTCTCGTTGGAGGAAAAAGTCTCGCCCGCGAAACGGAACGGAACTCGCGGGGCCGCGCACCACGCGAAAGAAGAAGAGGAAAGCCAAGAAGTTCCTTCCTCTCGCGCCACGAGACGTACGAGTGGTACGGTACGGAACGGAACGGAACGCGGAGAGAGCACGCATGCACGCACGCATGCACGCACGCACGCAGGCATGCACGCACGCACGCACGAATGCGCGCCGCTGACCACCACTGGCCGACTGAAGAGAACACCTGTATAGCCAGGAGGACACCTGTCGCCTGACGCGCGCCAGAGAGAAGCGTGAGAGCGGGCCACGCCGACCTTTTGCGTGGGACCGGCGATCTCCCCCGTACACTAGCGCTCCACGTCCACGTTTT